AAAAAAATGTCGCATTAAATGGATTTAAATCTTATTAAAAGATTTTACTTATCTTCTAATCATTGATTAGAGGCTTCAAATGAGTAAGTTATCATCTTCTTAGATCAAGCCCATTACCTTAGGATCATCCAATTAGATCAACTTCTAAGTCACAATAATTTAGGAAAATTACAACGTTACCCTTGTTGTAGGAAAAGTGATGAATTGGTTTCTACATCTTAACCCTTTATGTTTCAATCTTTTAAGAGAGTTAATCAAGAACAATGTTACCCGTTTACCTTTTGTTTTAACCTACATTTTGATTAGGGATTCAAAATTTCATAATTACTATTTTGCCCTTACGGCTCCCCACTTCATAATCCTTTAAATTTGGGTCAATCAAAAATATCATAAGAGGACTTATATTTTTCTGATTTTTATTTAGGTTTCAATGATTATTTTACCTCAAAAATAAGAATTTTCAATGTTAGTTCATTTAGTTGACCAAAAAAAATCTTCTATTTTTAAGAAAATTAGTAGAGGTTCACCAAGATCAAAATGACCTCTAAGAACAAGTTTTGTGATTTTTTCAATTATATTTAAATTTTTATAATTTTTAGTTATTTTTTGTGACTAAATACATAGAAAATACATTTTTATTTCAAAAATTAGTTTTTCTTTTTTTTCATGAGTCTCTCCAACTTCAGGGAACTCAGAGAAGCTTATTTTGTATTTTTTAATTTTTTTTGTGATTATTATTAATTTTTTTAAAACAGAAAACATATTTTTAATTTTTAGATCTTATTTTTATTTTTCCTAAGGTTCTCTGGTAATAGTGAACCTACCAAACCAATTCTCGTAATTTTTTGCCTTATATTTTATTTTTTATATTTTTTTAATTAAAACAAAGGTGGTTAATGTTGAAAAATTAGGGCTTTCAATCTTAGGGGTGTTATCTGACTTTACAAAAATTAGGACACACTCCTACGCACATGAAGAGTAAGCCCTCCAAATTTCATGTTATGGTTTTGTCTCTTTACGAGTTTTCAACGTAAAAACTTATGATGACTCTATTAATTGTTTTTTTAGGGTGTGCGTTGAATTCTAGTGCATCACTAAGACGATAATCCACTACTCTACCGCTGCGAATTTTTTAGCACACATCTATACGTAAAATATCATAATGCAATCTTAGAACACAATATTACAAAAAAAAATAATAATAACCTCAAATATTTTTGTCGCATAAAATTTCAGGTAAAAATCAATATTCTAATTAATAGTGAAAGTCACCACTGCATAATAAGCCCAAAGATAGAATTTGAATCCTCTACAGTTATCAACAAAGTTTTAGACCACGTCCTTGAATTTGTGGAATAATATCAGTACAAAATTCAAAAAATCAATTATCCTCATCTTCATTGTTGTTAACCCGTTCACATTCATCTATCCACTCCGAGTATCTGTAACACAAATGATCAATATTTGATTAAAAAAATAGATTACATAAATATATGAGACTGGTATCATCTATTTGAGAATATAACTAGAACTCACACGTCAATCGGCTCAGTCAGCCCTGTAAAATGAAAGAATATCTAAGGTTAGTCAACCAATTTATATTCAGCAAAAAAATTCAAAGTAGATTTGATTCAGCCTTCAGTTTACAGACCAAAAGATGAACTATAAAAATTAGCAAATAATCAATCTGAACTATAAAGGTTGTATTAAAAAAGGACTATAAAGATCATGTTCATTTGATGTAATTAATATTTATCCATCATTAATCGTAATAATCATACCATGAGCAGAAGTGTTAAATTCTGCCATGCAAATGCCACACGTGGCTTCAGCAACAAAATTCTTCCTGTCTCTACAAGATAATATATATTCAGGTCATAATAGTAAAATCATGGAATATTGCAGGATGAGAAAAAAGGCATGTATATGTATATATATATATTTACATGATACATTCAACACTATTGCTATGGTTGCAGAATGGACAACAGAACGCAGTTTCAAGCTTTGGCATCTTCTTTTTCGGAGGAGGCTTTGCCCTTGATTTTCTTTTCCCCATTAATCAACTTCAAAAGTTTTCCTTCCAATTTGGTATTACTGCCAAAGAAACACATTTGACAATTAAAAGCTATTCTGCATTTCTTAAAATTGAAGTTAAATTATAACGATAAAATGAAAAAATCATAAAAAGACGCATGAAAATGCATATTATCATAATAGTAATCAATTGCGTACAAAACAATTAGTCATAAGCAATGGTTCAACAAACTAATAACTGATTCATGATTCAGTTTGCAAAAAAAAAAAAATAGTAATAATAATAAATTAAAATTGGCGTCTACTGATCCGTCCAAATCATGCAAAGTTTATCACAAGTGAAAATGCAAAAACATCAATAAGAAATAAATACCCCTGAAAAAATCATCAATTGTAAATGCAAAAACATTAATAAGAAATAAATTCCTTTAATATCATGTACAAATTATAAATTAAAATCATGCTCCAAACAAGAAAAAAATTTAATTAAAATACATTTTTAACGAAAAAGAAAGTAATAAATTACAAATATCTATTCGATGTAAAACCTAATTTGAAGTTCAGCAATTGCATGGGTTTCAAAAGATTTGCAAAACACGAATGAAATCGCATAGAGGAAGAAAAAGGAAAAATGAGAAGAACTCGTTCTAAACAATGCGCGCGCCTATGATTTATACACAAAACGAAAGATCCCATCAGCATTCTTATCTTGGCAAGAGATCAAGATTGTACAAACAAAGAACAACCATGAATGCAAAAATGAAAATGTTTTCAAAAGAAAAAAAAAAAGAACTAGAAATCAATAGAGACGTAAAATGGCGACAATTTTGGAGAAGGAAAAATGAGGATGGCTCACATTGGCCTGAGAATGTGGGAAGATAATGAATGCCACACACGTTGGAGAGGAGATGTGTTTATAGAGAAGAAAGAAAAACCGTTTAAGAATGCGCGGCTTTATGCAAATCAATCCATGAAAGAAATGAAATGGCATGCCTGGAATGAAGGTCGGATTTAAAATTTAGCAAAGATGGTTTAAATAATATCTTTACGGGTTGGAAATTATAAATTCTAAAAACATGAAATTTTAGCATATTATAATTATCACTATTAATTAAATAAATGTTATGAATACATTTGCATCTGGAAGGTTTTAGAAAAAAATAATCAATCAAATTTTATCCCAACAACGAATTTTGTATTATAGTATTGTTTTATAGTAATTAGCAAATTTACAGAGAAAGAATCACGTTTTATTAAATAAATTAATTGTACCAATTCGGTTTAACGTAGCAACAAGATTTTGTAAAAATTATACTAATAAAGGCCATGTTTCATCTATAACAAGTGCGGTTCATATACTTATGTAGTCCTAAAAATAATTATTTCCTTTAAGTATGTTATATCTACATATTGCCAGATACACTTTTACTATCTGTTCAACTTATGAGCAATTTAATATGCTTTTACCCGTCATATTAACTATAAGAAATGCAGTAATTGAAGTAATTCGCTTTCCTTAGTCACACATAAATGTAACTTATCCGAACAGGAACAGGGTGCCGAACGATGATCCATTCATCCTCCCGCATCTATCCTAAACACTTTCATAATCCACTAATTTTATATTACATGGAGCAATGCAACATTATTCCAAATACTTATAAAAACATTTGAATTTTATAAATCCTTTTGCAGAAATTAATGCATTTACCTTCTTATCCTGATGAAAAAAATATGTATATTACATCGCATGCTTTAAACGTTTCAAGGAATTAATTTACATTCGATTTTTATTTGCAAGAATTATTTATTCATTTCATCCTTTATAATTTAAATATATGAGTGAGGTCATGTATATAAGGTAAAGTTGGCTCCTTGGATAATTATGAAATCAACGACCCTTATCATAGTAAGTAGTTTTTAGGCGACCAAGAAGTTGTCGCAAGTAGGCACCTAAAGACGATCATCGGGCATGGAGTCGAGGAAGTGTGGTGGGCCGATGGCACCTAAAGGTGATTGATCTAGGGCTGAGCGAACCCTAAAGTCGAGCCACTGCTACCCAAAGCATGGATGATTAACGCAGGTCGCACATATCAGACTATATGACAGATTGTCAGGGCTTGACAATTGATATTACAAGGACAACATCAAAACTATTGACTAGGCAACTCAAAGTAACTAGGGGCAGACGGTTCAGAAGTCCATAACCACACTCTAGATAGGGGCATAAAGGGTAAAACCCTTTACAAAGAAGTTGATTCTCAATTGCTACTTTTGAATGGTGGCATATTATTTGTATCCGAACTACATCCAGAGTCAAGGAAAATGCATTATTGTAAGTTTCCTACTTGATTAATATAATCAATTCTTGGTATTTAAATGGTCGATAAAATATAAAGCTAATAGTTTTTGCTGCCCACCCCCATCCTCGGAAATACTACTAGCCATTGCATTTTTCACATCTAGTTGCTATTGTCATTCTCGCTATCTAGCATCTAATTCCTTCATCCAACTCATGTCAAAAATATTAGTCACACCACTCGTTTATATGTATTTACATATTTTACACAAAATTATTTTTTTTCACTAATGTAAAATTGAAGTTTAGGCATTAGACATATAAATACATAAAATTGATTGATATATAAGTAATTATTCTTTTATATATAACTTTTTTATTCTATATCTATGTTTATTCATATAAATATGTTTAATCATAAAAATTAATTCAAGAAAAAAATTTGAAATTAGCGGGAGTTAAAATAATTGTAAGAACCATTGCAGTTAAAACCGCTGCAAAAAATATTAAAATAAAAAACCTTCCCCAATTATATTAGAATAACTGCTATAAGTCTTTCAAAATTAACAACTAGCTACGGTTAAAACCACGACAAATGAAACTAACAGCTGAAATCTTTGCAAAAGTCACCGCCGGTAAAAACCTTTCTCGACACTTTTAAAACAACTG